TATGCTAAAAAAAGATAGCAGAGCACCAATGATGCATTTTTTCTGAAAAAGTGAGCAGGTGCTTTTCTTTTTTTAGGCACAGTTCACTGCCAAACTTTGGAGGTATGGCTTTGCCAAGTGTGTTAGGGCAGAGATTCAGAGTGGAAACAACACMTTTSCTCTGGTACTTTGGATATTTAGTCMTTTTTAATAGAATTCAGAAYGKTGGTSTGTYTAATTTCAGTGTTACATAGTRCAGCCTCTGTTTTTTAATAATATATTTTGTGAGGTGGTGATCAACAAATTACCTTTTTGCTTTGCTGAGTAAAACTAGTGAATCGAGTCGTCAACAGGAAAAGTGATATTTCTACAGAGAAATGTGTTTTGTGGGAATAATTTTAAAGAAATTTGAATTATCACGTAAAATACTTGTAAAAACTACTAAGAAAAAGTTGATTTTTCAGTAGGAAATTCTTACCATTTTTGGGCATGACCCCAGTCTCACTGAAACCCTTCCTTAACTCTGAGATACTCAAGTCCATATTCGTGGCAGGATTAATGAGAAGATGATATTAATTCCAGAACTAGGAACTGATTGGAATATGATCAGTTAGATCATCTTGTATTGCAGATGTTCTTAAGGGATGGATATCCCATGTCCTCCTCATAGATAAGACTGTTTTGTGAGTTTTATGAGTTTAATAAGTACTAAGAAATGTTGTCTCCAACTCTCTTTTATGGTGGTCTTTAACTTCCTTCAGTTTTCTGCTGAAATACTGTTTAGTGTGTTTGGTTTGAGTTAATTGATTTTTTTTTCTGAAAATGTATAGTTTGCAAATACATGCTATTTACTCTCAAAAACCAAAGAAGTTTAAGCCGTACTCAGAGCCTTTTTTTTTTTAATAACACTTGGGAGCCTGATGTGAAGTATCTTATTTTATCCGTGAGGAGCTTAAATAAGGGGAAAYACTATTCAGAAGGATGGAAAAATAGCTCATTTTAAATTAGAATATTCTCCTTTTTCCCAAGACAAGGGATTCTGGCATAAAATCAAAGGGCAGTGTCATGGATGGGTCAATGATTCATTCATAGTGTTAATGGCTCCAAAAAAGTCAGTTGTGTCCTCCTGGAAATCACCTTGTCCTCTCTAATCAGGAATAAACCACACCAGGATGGAGATAAAAAGAAAATATTATCCAGTACATATTGTGTAGGTACTTAAAACTCTCTATAGTGGATGACAATGGCATGGTRAAAATACATTTAGTGTGTGAAACAATCCAATAAAATTGCCTCAGGAATATCCATTTTCTGACTGAAAGATATTGRAGTGGCTTCTTCAGTATAAATTTTAAATTTCTGCAGATGGTACTTGCAAGACTTCTTTTAAAAATGGATTATATTGGCCAAAAAGTTCTGTAGCAACAAATGTTCAGTGAACTGCTCCTGGGAGAAYTCAGGCCTGTTAAAATTAAAGCAAACCTGAATGGAATGACTCCTCAGAGAGCCACATAAATGCATTCCTTACTCATCTCCTGCCCTTCTGTTTTCATAAATGCCATTTCATAACTTCCATTATATGTCCTTTCTGGTTTGAGGGAGATGTTGACAATTCTGCTTAATGCAGTGTTTCATGTCCTGCTGCTGTTACATCRGAAAAAGCGACGTTGTAGAAAGTAGTGACCCTTTCCTGGTGATAGAGGACCTCATTTTTGTCAGTCAGAAATGGGTTTTATATTGAAATGATTTTTATTTGTTTACAGCACACTGTTCATTGCTGTCACCCTGCTCTAATAGAGCTTTTTTTTTTGTTGTTGTTTTAAAGCTCAACCTGCAGCTTGCAGCAGCAYCAACTCCTTGTCATCATTCTGTTCACAAATGTCAAGCAAATGAAAAGACCTTCAGGTTAAYACCTACTTATCCTGGTGTTCTGCATTGTTGATCCTAAAAACCACCCCCAAGGCTCTCAGCCACTGCTAAAAAGGGAATTTTTTCCCCCTTTCCAAAAGGAAAGATTAAAGAAATGCCTTTTTTCTTTTCTCTAAATGACCCTGTACGGCATAGGCAATTACCTTTCATTGCAGACACAAATTCTGCTCAATGGAGTGCTGTATCTAATATTCTGCTGGTTTTAATTAGAGTGTCTGACATGGAAAGAATTGGAAATTGCATTTGCTTTCCCATGGCAAAGTCCTGTTGAAATGATTGGAGCACCAACACAAACACAACCAGCACAGACCTAAAATCACAAACAGAAGATTTCTTTCTGTGCTGCTTATCAGGTTTTTCAGCTCAGCTGGACTGCATGGAATACAGGAAAAAATAAACAGCCTTTAGTATCTGCAGATGTGGATAGGCAGAGAAAAAGAAATGTATACAAAACAAAAAGAAGCATAAAAAGAAAATATTTCCATATATAATGGAAAGGATGCTGTTGAGTACCTCTTCCTGTAGGGTGAGGGTGAAAGGATGGAGGGCAGGTTCAGAAAAAAAAGTTCAAAAGGCACAAAACTCTCCAAATATGCAGTGTGATGGGTTTGAGGGCTGTCAGCTTCTGAATTTTGCACTTGCCCCCTAAATAACRGTGCAGACAGAGTGCATTTCAGTGCATTTCTCATTTACACAAAGAGACTGAAGTCTGAATAGTGAAAGTGGGCTTTTTCTTTTCAGAGCTGGAAGGAGAGTGGTGCTTGTTGAGCTCAGATTCAGATCAGAAAAGTGTGCAGTGCATATCTGCACCATCACTGCTAAAATACATGAATGGGGCAGAGTCTTTAACATCCTTTGCAAAATGTCACAACTTCTWCACTGACCATAAAGACAGGTAGAAAAGCAGTTTAAACATCCTAACTAATTATGTTAAGTGTAGGAAACTCAATTTATCTGTCTCAGGAAGATGAAGGGCTGGGCTGAGCCAAGCCCTGCTGGAATTAAAGCAGTCATGCTGTTTCATGAGATATAAAACATTTTTCATTGTTGTGAAACACAAAGCTAATATCCAAAGCAAACTGGATACCAATAGGTTGTGATGTCAGATAAATCCAGTTATGGGATTTTGGTCTATTGATGTCTTCTGATTTCTCTCCTAAGGGCACAGTGAACAGCTGTAAATTCACAGGAGATGGAAAACCATTTGTCTTGGCAGTTGGCCCTGACACTCTGCTGACCAGAGTCCAGGGGGTTTTTTGTTCTTGGGTTTGTTTGGGTTTTTTTAAGGTAATGCACATAACAGAGAAATGTTTCAGTGATGAGCAGGGGCTTAGCATGGTTTGATTTGCTGTATTTATCAAGAGGAAGCAAGGAAGCAGAGCCAAATTGATCTTTTGTACAAAAAAAGAAAAAAAATTGTGTCAGAGTTCAGGTAAAGTGTCTGAATTGAATTGCTGAGAATAATTTTTTGAGAAAGTTGATTGTCTTTGCTTGAAAATGCTTTGTGTCCTGTGCTTTCAGTTGCTTTCTACTGATGATTTCTAGGTTGTGTAGTTTGTTCATTCTGGGTTTAGATCCCAATGCTGATTCAAATAGATAATGCTCATGTTTCAATAATTAAATTAAAGCACTCATTATGTGACCAGGAATCCAGAAAAAACAACCTCAAACAATGACATCTGAAATTTTGTGAGTTTTGTTTTGGTGATGTGAGTTTGGCCTTCTGTTAGTAGAATGTATGATTGATCAGATAAATGTTAATCCCCCTAAATTCAGATTTACTGTGATAATAAACCCCTCTAAACTGACCCCAGGGGTGGTTTGTCACATTTAACAAAGCCCATAAACTCTGACTCTTGCCTCATGAGCTTTTTACTACAGATGCTAAAATCAGATGGAGAAATTATAAAAAATACAATATATAGATATATAATTAAGGATTTTTAATAAAATTTATTGGCAGAAAAGGCAATAAGTAAAACTGCAGCTGTAAAAGTGGTTCCATTGAGCTCTTGAGTTCATGGTTTGTGCTTTGCTTTGTAACCCTTTGTCCAAGTTTTTAATTGGCATCATGGTTTTTGTTTTCTAAGGATGTCACATCTCTCCCCTTCTCTWGAGAGGTGATGTCCTCAGTCTGCTTTGGTAGGAATTGCTGCTTTTTAAAAAAAACATGGGTGAGAGTCTTCAGATGTTTTGTGTTTATTTGGCCAGCCTACTGGCATTTGATTCAGGAAAATTAATGCAGAAGTGRAGGGTTTGTTTTCCAAAGTGAGGAATAGAAAGGAACCTACACCCCTGTAGCCAGCAGCAAGGATTTGGTGTTCTTTTCATTTCTTTTTTAGTGTTAAGTGTGTTATGTTCAGCACTTGTCGATCTGCTKACTGAATACTTATGGTTTTGACCCCTGTTGAGAGATGGTCAGACTGCAGAGAAAACATGTTTGCAATATTCAATCTCAATTGTGGGATGAGTGAGGAGTGGAAAATAATGACTACGAAAAATTCATTTTGTCAAGGTTTGTTATTTTCCCTGAAAATGAGAAGAAACACATTTAAAACAACTACATGARAAATCATATTGAGTTGGCAAAATGCTGTCAGGCAACTAACCTTCTACAGCTTTTGATTACTTGGAGTTGTAAATTATGAGATTTTGCAAAAAAAMCCCTTGATTTTGATCATCAAGGTCGAGTGATGAGATCTTGGCCCTATTACTCAGTTGTTATAAGGATTTACAGAAAATTATCCTGAGCTATGAAGTTGACACCAAGCAAGGATTAGAGGGTGGTTTTTTTTTTTTTTTCCTTTTGTACCTCAGCATATTAAATCTAAATTGCTTTCAGTTGCCAGAGTGTTTTGGAAAGGTTTCTATGGGCAGTCCTGTTCCTGTTGAAGCAAATTTTAATGCAAATGCCTTTTAGAATTCTGATGATGAATCTCTTGCTTTATTTATATCTTTGTTGGTGACTTCAAGATGTTATCCATGTATGAAATAATGCCAATGTGATCAGATAGTTAAATGATCCCTTAATATTTTAATAACACTTATTAATAAACTATTTTGGTTTTGTTTGTTCTTTGTCCCACTCTCAGAACAAAAGCCTCAAGAACAAGCTCCTGTCAGGAAACAAGCTTTGTGGTATTCATGCAGAAGAGGTAAGGAAGGTTCCTCTCTGTTCCAAATCCATTTTACCCAAAAAAAGTTTGCGTCAAATTCTTTTGCATTGAGGTTCTGGGATATTGTATAAACACAGCAAATTATAAATATCCCAGAATACAGAGTATATTTGGTGAGTGTTCCTAAAGTGCTCCCATCCCAATTCATTCCTGGGACTTCACAAGAAGCAGCTCCAATGTGTTAGWAAGCCAGTTACAAACTCAAGTTTTAAACAAAATCATCTGGGCATGGTTATGGTAAAACTCTACAGATATATACATCTGCAATATGCATAAAAAATAAAAATTCATTTCCATGATCTCCATGTCTACACTAAGGAATTGCCAAATGTCTGTTTTGAAATTACCAGAGACATAACCTGGAACACCCTGATCTTTGCAARAAATAATCCAGGCTATCCTGTGGAGCCTTTTTAGCTCTAAGAATAAGATKGTTTACTTTGAAGGTGATGCCTTCAGTTATGCTTCATGGAAATATTAATAACAATTCATCCCTAAAATGTGTAARCCCAACAGCTTTCCTTTACTAACTCAGGTGTGTGCTTTAGGTGCCAGTTTACGTTTTCTTCAATACTTTTGGCTGGTTTGACTTGTGAACCTGGAAAAGAAATTGGCAATTATTTGGAGGGGGCCGTTCTAAATTTTAAATCTGATCTAGATTCTGCTGTTCTCAGAATTCACTGCATTTTTAAAAAAAAATATTTAAAATTAAAAAAAAAACCAAAACCTGATTTTTTTTTTATCCTTGCTTTCAGTCRAAAAAGATCCAAGCCCAGCTGAAAGAGCTTCGTTATGGGAAAAAGGATTTGATTTTTAAGGTARGTTTTATTTCACTACAGTTAGCTGAAGCATTAGAGGTAATATAGSATTGGAGTAAAGCAGGAATATGATRGCTGCCTTWATTAYTGCATTTTCRAGGAATACTTCYRTTCTGAAAAGAGCTCAAAACACCCAGACAGACTTAATACCATAATGCATTTTCAGAAATATTATATACTTACATATCTATATTTCTGTGCTCACAAAAAGCAAACTCTTAGGTTCCTGCTGGTGAATAAAACCTGTTGCCCTATTCCATGCATTCTGTTTTTCATCTTTCTAACTGATAAATGTAATATTTTATAGATKCTTCTTGTTTTTCCTGTAATTAGCCATCCTTCATAGGAGAAGTCAAGCATTGATAACACTTAAAGCAAATCTTTGTGTTTATGATAAGCTTGACCAATGTGATGTTCCTTTGGTCTGAAAATTTAAGAAAAAGGAAACATTTGCATGAAGTCCTCAAAACAAATATTGTGAATTTTGGTGTTTTGGTAAAGTTTTTTGAATTTCTGTGTTGCTCATTGTCACAGATTTGGGGGCAGTTTGCAGTGATGAACATGCTGGTGGCAGTGAATAATGTGGCTACATGGTTTAAGTTTTACTTTCTTAGCAGCAGAAGAACGTAAAGTTTTTGAAAAGGAAAGTTTTTGAGAATTTGCCTCTTCTCAAACACTTTTAAAATTGCCAGAAAAAAAGTAGTTTTGTTTCCTTTGTTTTGAATTTTCCTGGCTGAATTATACTGTTCTCTGGAATGTTCAAATCCTGCAAAGAATCACCAAAACCACAAAGCTGAAGCTTTGGGGACATTATGAGCTAATCCTCTCTGAAGAAAAGGTGAAATAAATGTTTCTAGCTCTGTRCAGACGGAGCTGTAGAGCACAACTGCTGTGCCTAACACGGATTTTAAAATGCTTGCTCCCTGGGTGCTCGTTCTCATACTGTTAAAATTTAAAAAGATGGTCTTTTAAAGAAGATTGACTTAGAAAAGAGYGAGCACTTTGATTGTTGTGATCATTTGGATGGGTTATCCATTACAAAGTACAGCTCATGCTAAAATGTACACTACTCTGGGTTTATCTAAAGGAAAAAAATCCCCAGTGGGCAGTCAGGGGCAGACCAGGCCCAAAGGTGAGTGATGTGGCTCTTTGTGGGCATCATCTAAATGTGTTTCTAAAAAATAAAAACCAGTRATTTTCATTTAAAAGCTGAGTACTTCGTTAAAACCCTGCCAAACTGCAGTTTTGCATTCATTGTAACAACTTTTATGTGCGGGTTGGGGGAGGAAAAGTAAAACTCCAGCGAATAAAAAACCACAAAGGACTTATTTCCTTTTTTTAATGTTCATCCAGAATAGTTAAAAATGAGAGATCAAAGCATTGCAGCAGCAATAAGCATTAATAAAATGTACAAGTTGCAAGGCTTGGCAGAAATGCTATTTTTAACTGACTTTTTGTTGTAAATGCTTGAAATCTARTTCATCTGTCGCTGAATATTTGGTTTTGGTGCATGCCTGATTAAATGGAATAGCAGCCAAAAAGTGTTGTTCCCAGTTACATTTAACACCTAATACCATGGTAAACAGTGCCTTTTAGAAGAACAAATCTCTGTTTTTCTAAGACACAAATAATGCTTTCAGAATGAGCGCAGCAGAATTGTGTTTATTGAATAATTTATCCAAGTTTACAGTTAGGTGGTTTTCAATTGTAAAACATTTTCTCGTTAGAAAACATAATAAATTATAAAAGTTGTAAAGGTTTTTTTTTCTTAAACATTTATGTAAGGCCTGTGCAGAGACAAAAGAGAGTTGAGAATATCCAATCTATTTAACAAGAGTTTTAAACATCACAGCCATGTTTTCTAATTAATTCTAAGCAGCATGTGTGGAAATGTTACTCTTTAATAAACAGCTGCTTTTTGCATGAAATAAAATATGTTCTTAAAAGTTTTGAAATAATTTGAACACCTTGAATTTTCAAGGATATTATGGCATCCCTAATATTTAATATAACATTATAAACTTGKGTTTATAATGTTTMATTTAATATAACATTATAAACTTGGGTTCACGAAAATGAAATACATGTGACTACAATGAATACCGTTTTTCCCTCAGAAAAAAAGCAATTCTGACCAATTTTATTGCTTGTAAAAWTTTTTAATTTATGTTCTTTCCTCTCTCACATGACAAAAATGCATTACAGATTGCATTATCCATTTTTTCTTTTCTTCCTTCCCACAGGCACAGCAGCTGACAGATCTGGAGCAAAAGCTGGCAGTGGCAAAAGAGGGGTTGGAAAAAGCAGCCCTTGACAAAGTAAGAATTTGAATGTGATGAGAGAATGTTTGTCTGCACCAGCTGGGAATGTTTTGGTGTAATTGGACAAAAATAAATTAAAGCCTTGCAGTGATTTAGGTGCACACTTAGTTTCATGTACGTGGGAGTGATGCTGCTGAAATCAGTGGAACTAATTAGGATGGCACGAAGTTAAGTGCAGCTGTGAAGTTATTTAAGAAAAAGATGGTCAAATTAGACAGAAATAGCTCAAAAAATGCTTACACTGCTTTTTAATAGATTTAGATATTTATTGAATTATAGTTCGTGCTGACAGTAGCCTTAGCATCTGTCACAAGTTGGTTTGCACCAAATCACTTTTTTATTTCCTGCCATGGACCCTTAGAATGCTGACAAACTTTGCATTACCAGGCCCAAATACCAAGAAAGGTGTGGCCAGCAGGACCAGGAAAGCCACTGTCCCCCTGTGCAGAGCTGGTGAGACCACACCTCACATAGAGTGTTCAGTTTTGGGCCACTCGCTTCCAAAATGACATTTGAGTGCTGGAGCAAGTTCAGAGAAGGGCAGGGAAGCCAGTGAATGGGCTAGAAAATGTCTTCTGAGGGGCTCCTTCCTGCCTTCCTGCCTGCCTTCCTGCCTTCCTGCCT